GAACAGGCCCTATGTCTGTGAATAGAAGAAAAAAATTGATTTACGGAGAGCAGTTCACTGTATTACATACGTGAAAGATCATTCCCTTCCACAAAAGAACAAGATGCAGTGGCTGTTGTTCTTCAGTAAATAGAACGTTGCCTACGATATAGATCTGAGTTATAACAGGTGGAGGAGTCAAGTCTTGATTAAACTTCAGAAGACCATTTCTCGTTCCTCAGTTGATAGAGCAGTAAATTCGCTGCTCAGTGGAATTAACAGTGAATATATAATTTTTAACTGTTATTTGAGCTGAAATCAACCTCTCAAGTAGGGCAGGTAGAAATGGAACTGCGCTCCAGTCATTGACTTAAGTCAGTCAATGAGTGTCATATGAAATATAATTAACAAAGATTACCTTGTACCTATTCTTCTCAGCCAGGACGCGTAACTGATATTGTTTTTTCCATTTCTCTGCTGCTCACCGGACCTTCCAACTCAAGGAATCACTTGACACAACGTTTGTGATCTTTCCCTTAATAACTGGTTGATTTTTTGAATCTCTTCCAGGATCATCATACCTTAACGCTGCTCATACTTTTGTAAAAACTAGAACTTTTAATACGTTCTTAGCCATGATGAGAAAGTCACAAGCGTGCTTATCGGCCACAATTTAATTTATGAAAGTCTCTACCAAACTGAAATTAATAATAAAACTATTTTTGCTTATGATACATTTCGCTTTTTACCCTTTGAACCAGATCTGCTTCTACACGATGAAAAATTTAATCGAAGAACCTGCAAGACAGATTAAATTTAATCTTCTATCATCTGATCTTGTACACGTTTATATACGTAGCTCAAAGTATAGGTTTGAAAAGTATTATATTTTTGGTTTGTTTACCAATTACTTTAGTAGAGATGATAATAAAACTTCTTGCCGTAATTAAAATGTGTATATGTACAGTGCATTGGGAACTATTTGTAGAAAACAGCTTAACAAGGTATTGTTTATAGATGGATGCCTTTACTTGTGGTTAAAACGTGCAGCGTATATTCTGTAGCGATTATCTCCATCGTTGAACGGGTTCCACGACGTAGGGCACCATTCCCTTGATCCGGTTAGGTGGTATATCATCTATGCAGCAAATAAAGAGCAAGGTGGAACAGGGCAACAAATCAGCCTAGAACCTAATATACGTTAGAGTCGAATCATAAGAAGAAAATTAATTCATATTAACCGCTAATTCCCATGAATAACGAACCATACACAGCCTCAGCGCAACCAATCAAGTAGTGGGTAACTAGTGCTTGACTTGCCACCAATGGGGCAACTGTTATCGTGGCTTCATTCTCAGATTATCAGAGTTGGCGAGGCATACCACCGAGAAGTCTAATGCTGGCGTTTCTAAGGGCTGCAATTTGCTCTGATTCAACTGACAGCTGACTATTTGATTGGCAATCCGTTAAATGTGTAAACTAAAAATATGATCAGTGGCAGACACAGTCTTAGATGCATCTCACATCATTGGAATGCTTGAAAATTTTGCCTGTTTTGCAGAAGTATATGTCAAGATTAGAGGCGTAATAAGAATGATATAAGACAACCTTGCCAGAGGCATTCTCCTGACAAATTCACAAGCAACAGGGTTTTGGTAACAACCGTGAATACGTCCATTTGGTGTAAATGCAAAATTATTAAAAACACCTCCTAAGGCAGCTGCTCCGCGACTCAGCCGGAATAACGAGCTTTGAAAATGATTGACTGATTACGTGTAATGGTTTAAAAAACCTTTGGTTTCTGAAAAGTTACTGATGATGAACAAGGTATAAGTTTTTTACACAATAAAACAATCCGTATGCTTGCAGGCGCTTCAACACCAGGATTCCTTTAGCCTGCTTTGTGGTTTGTAGGACACTAGGGAACAAGCGCATCAAAGGTGTTTACTATACACCATGAAATCCTGTAACCTGAGGAATTAGGTACTGTGGCATTGTACGCCAGAGAACAAATCTTGGCATTGGTGTGAATATTCTTGTGATATATATTTACGTTGAATACCTTTGCTGGAGACAAAGACAAATAGTTTTCAGGACGTCAATGTAAAAATTTCGACCTTGGCAAAACGAATAAGGCAGTGTGAAATACTATGAAAAAATTTGACTCAATTGTATTTCATGAAAACCTGTTCATTTGGTTGATTTTTTAAACATTTGGAGTGAGGCTTTCTTATTCACACAATGATCCTGCGTATGCCTTATATGGCGCTGAGCGTTGATCTATTGAAATGTTGTTGTACATTGCCCATTGCTGAGATTTATGGTCCTACGTTGACCTGAGAAAAACGGAGGTATCCTTACGTCAGCCGGGCGTAGATTGCGCCGCTTGTGTACATATCAGCAGCATGTAATCGAAAGTTTTCCGTCGCGCGTTCTTTTACTCTTGCGCGGTCGTGCGTGAATAATACGCCAGTTTTTGCACAGCGCGTTCCGTTCCGGCA